TGAACGAATGAACGCATACTTGAATCGCAAGTGAAGGTTATCTCCAGAAAAGAGGTCACTATTGGAGTGAAAGTCACGATATATTCAATCGATTCTCACATTCAGTGATCACTTCTTCAGTTCAATTGAATCCTCAATCCATTCATAACTCAAACCAATTGTAAGTATAAATGAATATCAATGGCATTGGAAGTAGTCTTCGAGAGTGGAAGTGATGTCCACCTGATGGTCAGGCGGGAGAGCAATGCCGACAAGTGTTGCATCACTTCGACCGGAGATGACTATCTGTTGACAATGCGATGATATACGGCTGTAATGGTGTGTATGTTGTGATCCGTGCAGACAATGGCTGACATCCCTGCAGGAGATGCCGAGAAGGGGAAGAAGGTGTTCGTCCAGCGGTGCGCTCAGTGCCATACCGTCGAGAAGGGAGGTTCCCATAAGACTGGACCCAACCTCCACGGCCTCCTTGGTCGCAAAACGGGTCAAATGGCGGGCTTTGACTACACGGAGGCCAACATCAAGAAAGGTATGACCCGTTGTGGTGATAGTTGTGGTGATAGTTGTGGTGATAGTTGTGGTGATAGTTGTGGTGATAGTTGTGGTGATAGTAGTGGTGCTAATGATACTAATTTCAACTGTGGTGGACAGGGATCACGTGGAGTAAGGCGACTCTGTTTGAGTACTTGGAGAACCCCAAGAAGTACATTCCGGGCACTAAAATGGTTTTCGCCGGACTTAAGAAGAAGAACGAGAGGGCGGATCTGATCGCATATTTAGAGCAGTCCACCAAATAATGCATCAATTGATCCAATGTTAGGCACAATAATCTAATTTAAAACTTTCATTCAATTCAAGTATTGCTCTGTTTTATTGTTTTAGTAATTAATTAATTCATTCAATTATATTAGGCTTTGGTTTAGGATTTATTAATTTTTAATTCTTATTTATGGCTCAATATTCAAATTGTTTTATAATTGTCTAAATTATTCAAGAAATGATTACTTTTTTGCCTTTTACTCCAAATTAGTAGATTTAACGCAAAAGTATTGTTATTTTTTGTGGTTTTGTTTTAAAGTTAAGTTTATTTTAAAATAAAACAAAATTGTCGTTCATTTTATTGGCTTTGCTTTACCGCTGAATAAATGCCTCAATAGCTCACACTATCACAGGTACTGTATCTCTAAAGTCCATATATCATAGAAATATCTTATAATTCAAGACCACTTTCATGCTTAAGAGATAACGCTTTTCACAATTAGTTACTAAATCTATATTATATAAGAAAAGTTGTAATAAAATATGTGATGACTTTCACAACTGTGTAGTAATAAATCCATTGATAAGATTTCTGTGGAAATGGATGACGAAACCAATTCTGTTCACTCAATGCTACGCTAAACAAACTTTTGATATTCAGTTAGAAACACGTGTTCACTGCAATCAATGTCTAACCATATGAATTACATAAACTTTAATCTCTCTCATGATTGCCTGACATTCAACCGTTGATTAAATGCCAAAAGTACTCATTTGGATAGGAATTGAACACAATTTATTCCCATAAAAATTAATTTATTAAATATAAAACAATCTCAAAATAATTAAATGCTTATTAATTCCTTACAAAAATACGACAGTAATATTAAAATTCAATTTCCATATTAAAAACAATTCAATTTAAACATTAAAAACAATGTGAATATAGTTTTAGTCACCTTTGAAGTCGAAATAATCGATTTGTTTTGAGCTTTCATTTGACTCTTTAACCGATTGGTTAGTATCGGCGGTAATGTTGCGAATCATTGAGTGA